ATAATTTATTTTGAATTCTTATTCACTGCATTGATCACAGTAACATAATCATTTGTATTATTTCTTCTAAGAATACTGTTTCAGCTACTATTAGGGTAAAATGCAAATTATACTTCCAAAATATCCTATTATCATTTTGTATGCACTACTGTTTTATGTTACTCACCAGGACATTCTGGATATAAAACAGCCAAAAAACTGCTGAGCCAGAGCCTGAGCTAAGTATCTCCTTGTCAGTGGAGTCTCATCTATAATCATTGCACTATGTAAGAGGTTTGTGCTAGACGAAAACAAAAAAGAACATAAGAACAATCTACAAGAGAAGGAAACACAACCAGAACAAAATATGAGATGTGGCACTTTAATTTGGGAATCTTTTACTCTTTTAGCAAGCAGAACTTACTTTGTCTTTTGCTTCTTCTAAATAACCTAAAACCAGACCTCTTCAGTAACCTAAAGATCTCCAGTTGTTTTCACATACAACGGTTAACATTTCAATGTTTCTGTCCCAAATGCAGAAATGATGCTAGCTTGGTTTTTATGTATTACCTGGGGAAACTCTATGGATACAAGACACCTTTTTGCAACCGAAGAAAAAGACAAATAAAAAATTGTCAAACTTCTGTAAGAGAGCAATTCTGCTTGCAGAAAGGAAAATGCAGCATTGCAAATGCTGGGTTTTGATTTGCTATTTTAAATATAAATATCTTTGCAAAAAAGCAGGAAACTAGAAACTTACCTTAAAAGACAGCAATGTGGACAAAGGCAAATATTTTCATACCTGGGTGCTTAAAGTCAGGCTATGAGGTCACTATGGGATGTGGACAATCCACACCTTTGAAATCAACCCCTGAAGTACCTAACTTTAGGCACCCAACTTAGAAACTTTTGGCCCTAATCTTCTCATCACCAGAAAAGGGGTGTTTTGTCTGTGGGTTATCTATCAACACACATTTTTAGACATATAAGTGTTCTAAATTAGGGATGTGAAAGTGTAAACAATTGCATGGTTAACCGATGGGGCTGGACTCACCTGGTTAACATGCATGGTTATACACAGCTGTCCCCCCACTCCTCTGGCCTGTGCTGCTACATCTGTATTAGGGGCAGCAGTGCAGGAAGTGCAAGTGCAGCCGGAAGCCAGCTTTTAAACTGGTTCCCTGCACGTACTAGCTCCTATGGAGCTGCCTGATTCACTGCAGTGTTACCTCTGCCTCCACCATTACATGTAAACATGTAACTGCTGAAGTTCTCAGAGGTTACAAGTTTACCTAAATAAACATATTTTAACATCCCTATTATAAATACTAACCTAAAAATACTCATGGAAGCATAAGCAGCTACTTCAACATATGCTTCATCTACAAAAACTGTCTTGAAACAAGAGTAAGGGTAGCGACAAGTAAGAATCTCTTCATAGAATTCAAAGACCTCATGAAGGTATGACGTGGTATGTTTCAGTAATGGGAGAAGCTGTGGTAAACAGAAATGAGTCACCTAAAAACAAAACAAAATTAATTTAATGAGAAACTTAACAATATTTAAATATTAAATTTTAACATTATATAACATTTAAAGCAAAATAAAAATCAAACAAAAAACAGTGTTGAAGCCATAGGACTGTAACCAACAACTAGCACTTTTACATTTGTTGTAACAAGTATCATAGAAGAAAAAGGTCACTGTGATGCCTATCTTAACTATCAGAAGTGCAACAGAAAAATAATTTGCTAAAAAATTATCATATAATGCAGCGGTTCTCAAACATTGTGATACTGAGACCCTCCTCTAAGTTGCTGCAACCCTCCCGGGGGGTCAAGACCCACAGTTTGAGAAACGTGGGTATAATGAGTCAAGCTACACAGGTATGCAGTACTAAACTTGAAAAGTTAACCCATTCACCAATGTGCACTTTAGGTCAATGCATAGAAACTATTTTGGATCAGGAAGTTAGGAAACTTTCCAAATTATGCCTTCCTACTGATGTCTACCATTCTAAGGATTTTTTTAAAATCCATCAGGCACTTTGTTGAACACTATCTTCCTTTATGAAATAATGCATGATTTTATATTGGACAGTAGCTATTTCATTGAATGTTGCTATTATTATTTAGTTTCAACCATATTATAGCCTCATCCTACTAACTACTTTTTGTTATTGTTATTTCCCCAAAGGTTATTGTGCAACTGGTAATAACGGATCAGAATTATGACAATTCCATTGATCTCTGTGGTGTTCCACCAGTCAGGAGAGTCTTTGGATCAATGTCATTAATAGCCAAGAAGCCATTAAAACACTGCAGAAATGCCATTTCTGTTGCTTTGTCACTGGATTTTTCAGATCATTTCCACTGATTTTTATACTAGATATTACATTTCCCACCATATTTTTTTTAATTAATTTAATCCTGTGAAAGTTATCAGGCTGTCAGCATTGGAGATTAAAGTTTTCAGTTTTTCCATAGATCAAATACAGCATAGACACCAATAGTATAGGTATGCCAACAATATCCCTCCCATGCTTGAACTTCAACCAAGAGGGACATATATGGACCATTTCCTGGGGTGAAAAGGTAGTTTTCTACCTAGCTCAATTTGTCTGCCTTCAATCTCTCTGAGAATATAGGTAGGATTATAATAATAAATACTCATTTTGTGGACATGGACAACACAACAGGCCACCTTGACAGAGAATCTTGCTACCAATTTAGTTGTTCACATAAGCCACTGAACTAAGTGGCAACAACTTTTAATCACTATGAGCACTGACTTCTATCTAAACTTATTTGAAAAAGTATCCTTTTACCAATTCCAATTAATCTAATTCCCTGACTTCTACCTAGGATTTTATTTCAGAGATACAAAACATTACCAGGATTTATAAAAGGTACCTTTAGATCAGTATCAACCCATAATTTTACTAACAGAGACTGGTATATTAGTTGCATATCTTTCCTGGACTGATACTAGCTGGATCTAGCTGAAGGCATTAAAATAAACTAGTTCTCTAAAAAGCAGAGTCCTCTGAAGATTATTACCTCATGCATATATGGATCAACAAGGATTTCAAAGGGTCCTATAGCAAGAGAGATGTTAGAAGCTGCAGTTGGAATAGTCAGCATGTAATGAAAGGTCTTCTTTCTCATATCATGGGTATACACTGTTTCCACCAAATCTCCATTTGAGACAGCCACCATTGCAGCATCTACTGTATATTCTAGTTTCCATGTGCACAATTCAGAGTATGAATCAACACAAGGAAACCAAAATCTAGAAAAAAGATTAAGATGTTAAAAAGAAAATAATAAGAAAACACTACATACTTTTCTTTTTTATGACAACTTTTTCCTCTCCAATTGCAGGCTATATATATTTCTAAATACTTTGGTATTTGGCATGCTAGCACCCCCACTCTACAGCTCTCACTGTACACCAACTTCACACAAGTTTGCCAGCAGTGGAAGCTTCTTTGCTACTGTTTCTCATTAAATTATGCCATGTAGACTTTAGAAATCTCCAGTGGTTCATTTTGTGCCAGACTCTGTCTGTTGAATTCACTCCAAACAGAAGTCTGAGATTAAACAACGGACATTTTCCATAAGAAACTAAATTGGAAAACAGAGGAATTATTACAAATATTTCCAATATGTTGAGATTCTGTTAGATACTCAAGATCTGTTATGCAATATAACATTTGAGGATTAAGATTCTTACCTTGTAGAATTTTGATATCCACAAGAAAAGACATGAGCCCCTCTCTCTGCCATGCTACCTTCTATATTGGGCACCACAAAATGAAGGCCTCCCTTTGGCTGGTCCAGAGAAAAATTTATGTGCACCTTTAGGCCTTTTAACTCTACAGCAGAAAGAAAGCAATCATGTGTTTCATATGTGTATAATAACAATACATATACAATTTATTTAACTGTGGGCTCTATCTTACAAGGCGATGAGTGTCTCAACTCTCATTAACTCAGGGGGGGAGTGCAGAATACTCAGTTATTCAGACAATTGGGCCATTTAAAGCTTAAACAGTGCAATGTACCATCAATCTATTGAACTATTTTCTATAGTAAAGTATCATATTAATTAAAATCTTCACTTGTGATTCCATTTCACCTTCCAACTCCCTAATATTAAAATATCTTTACTCTTGCACTATAACTTCTGACGTTTCCCCAGATTACTGAAAATGTTTTCCACAAAACTTACATGCAATATCCACATTTTTATCACTTTTGTTCTCATTTGCACTACATTTATTAAAACATCCTACTACAGTAAGAACTTTGTAGGCAACTGCTATATATCTTTGCTTACATTTAGTATCTCAGAATCTGGTGTATGAACTTACTGTTATTGTTATTTATATTAAGGCTGACTGGTCAGAAATGAAATTCAAATGATTTGTCCACTAGATTTCACCACAGTCTTAATATATCTGTGGCAGTATGTCAAAGCTTAAAATTGCTATCTGTTTAAACATTGTTTTAATTATCATAAGTAACACCTACAACAGTATAACTGAAATGGAAGAATAAAAATATTTATCTTTCTAATTAAGTTTTGTGCATTTCACAGCACTGCATGCACAGACAGTTTCACTGATCCATTATCCTCAGTTTTCCACGTTAGTATGGAACTTTCACACGTTAGCAGGAAAATGTGCTTGTAAAACCACAAAAATTGATAGGCTAACTCTTTGGAAGTGCAGAACCTTAAACTATTTTACATATTTAACAGAACCAGTTTCAAATTATAAATGTCAAGAATTTCAGCAAACCATTGCTATGACATCTTTTATATGATTAAAATGCTTCACAAACATTATCTCTCAAAAATCAATGGTAGGACAAGAAAACAACACGACAATCTTAAAATATAAAAATGAGAGAAACTAAATGACCTGCCCATAGCCACATCAAATTAGTGGCAGACACTGACTTGAGTGCTTGAAAATGTGGTGCCAGAGAGCACTAACCACTCAGTCCCTGGCTACAATACCCAAACGGAAGAGACTGTCTGCAAGCAAAAGCCTACACGTTTGATCAATTATCTGAGTTTGGCACATTTTACTACATTATTCACCTTTATTTTGGAATATGCTTAGATGACTAGAATTAAATGGGATCCATATTAGAAAACAAAAGTATGTTTAGATAGTTACGGCTGTGTTAGGAAACATCCCATTCACAAACAATCTTAAAGTACAAATATGAAAGAAACTTAAACAACGAATAGTCCTGCAGCACCTTAGAGAATAACAAAAAATATAGATGGTATCATGAGCTTTTATGGACACAACCCACTTCTTCAGATGAAATACTTAAGCTAAATCAGATATTGTGAATCATAGAACACTAGAACTGGAAGAGACCTTGAGAGGTCATTTAGTCCAGTCTCCTGCCCTCATGGCAGGACCAAGCACTGTCTAGATCATTCCTCACAGGTATTTGTCTAACCTGCTCTTCAATATCTCCAGAGATGGAGATTCCACAACACCACTGGGCAATTTATTCCAGTGTTTATCCACCCTGATAGGCAGGAAGTTTTTCCTGACGCTCAACCTCAATTTCCCTTGCTGCAATTTAAGCCCATTGCTTCTTGTCCTATCCTCAGAGGCCAAAGAGAACAATGTTTCTCCCTCCTCCTTGTAACACCCTTTTAGATACTTGAAAACTGCTATCATGTCCCTTCTTAGTCTTCTCTTTTCTAAACCAGTTCTTTCAGTCTTCCCTCATAGGTCATGTTTTCTAGACCTTTAATCACTTTTGATGCTCTTCTATGGATCTTCTCCAATTTCTCCACATCTTTCTTGAAATGTGGTGTCCAGAACTGGACACAATACCCAATTGAGGCTTAATCAGCTCAGAGTAGAGCAGAAGAATGACTTCTCGTGTCTTGCTCACAACATCCCTATTAATGCATACCGGAATCGTGTTAGCTTTTTTTGCAACCGTGTCACACTGTTGACCCATGTTTAATTTGTCGTCTACTATGACTCCTACATCACTTTCAGCAGTACTCCTTCCTAGATAATCACTTCCCACTCTGTATGTGTGAAATTGATTGTTCCTTCCTAAGTGGAGTACTTTGCATTTGTCCTTATTAAACTTCATCCTGTTTACCTCAGACCATTTCTCCAATTTGTCCAGATCATTTTGAATTTCAACCCTGTCCTCCAAGCACTTGCAATCCCTCCCACGTTCGTATCATCTGCAAACTTAATAATTGTACTCTCTATGCCATCATCAAAATGTTGAAGAAGATATTGAACAGAACCGGCCCCAAAACAGACCCCTGCGGAACCCCACTTGTTATTCCCTTCCTGCATGATTGTGAACCATTAATAACTATTCTCTGAGAACAATTATCCAGCCAGTTATGCACCCACCAGGTTGTATTTGCCTAGTTTATTGATAAGAAGGTCATGTGAGATTGTGTCAAATGCCTCCTTACTAAAGTCTAAGTATATACCACATCCACCGCTTCACAAGACTTGTTATCATATCAAAGAAAGCTATCGGATTGGTTTGGCATGATTTGTTCTTTACAAATCCATGTTGGCTGTAACCTATTACCTTATTTTCTTCCAGATGTTTGCAGATTAATTACTTAATTACTTGCCTCATTATCTTTCCTGGCACAGAAGTTAATCTGACAGGTCTGTAGTTTCCTGGGTTCTTCTTATTTCCTCTTTTATGAATAGGCACTATATTTGCCCTTTTCCAGTCTTCTGGAATCTCTCCTGGCTTCCATGATTTTTCAAAGATGATAGCTAAAGGCTCAGATACCTCCTCTATCAGCTCCCTGCGTGTTCTAGGATGCATTTCATCAGGCCTTGGTGACTTGCAGACATGTAACTTGTCTAAGTAATTTTTAACTTGTTCTTTCAATTAGAATGTCCGTGCTAAATGAAGCTTATAGAGTGGGTTCTAAGAATTCTTAAGTACCCGGTGCTTGGTTTTTTATGTCATTAGGATGTGGAATATAGCGAGTCATCCAATTAAGGTTTAAACCTCTACTGCAGGTGTCAAACTTGTAAATGATATCAAGTTCTGCAGCCTCTCTTTCAAGCTGGATTTGAAATTGACTTGTACTAATATGGTAACTTTGAGATCCATTAATGAGCGTTCGGTCAAGTTAAAATGTTCTCCAACAGGTTTGTGTGTGTTACTTTTTTGAATATCTGTCCCCCAAGGCTTGTGAGAGTGAGGGGTCAATTTCTAGGATAGGTTGTAAATTGCTGATAATGCACTGGAGGGGGCTTAAGTTGAGGGCTGTAGGTACAGGCAGTCCCCGAGTTACGCGGATCCGACTTACGTCGGATCCGCAGTTACGAACGGGGCCGTTCCTCTCCCTGGTCTCCAGCAGACCAGGGAGAGGAAGCAAAGCGGCGGAACACGTGGGCAGCGGACAGGGCTGTTCGCTGCCCACGCGCTCCACGGCTTGGCTCTGCTTGGCTCTGCTTTGCCCCACTGT